AACATTTTTTTTTTTGTATCTATAGAAGATAATTCATGTTTACTAAGCTTACTGTGATAACCATTTCACAATATAAGTCAAACTCATTATGCTGTACACCTTAAGCTTACACAGTGCTATATGTCAATTGTATCTCAATAAAACTGGGGAAATTTTTAAATTTTTTTTTAATTGGAAAGAAGTCAAAAGACAACCAATAAATTGGGAGAAAATATTTGCCACATATACAATAGACAAAGAACTAATATTTCTAATATATAAAAAGCTCTTAAAAAATGAGAAACACAGCATTATTCACAACAGCCAAAAGGTGGAAGCAATCCAAGGGTCTATTGACAGATGAGTGGATAAACAAAATGTAGTGTATATATACAATAGGATATTTATTCAGCCTTAAAAAGGAAAGACATTCTGACCCATGCTACAACATGAACAAATCTTGAAGACATTATGCTGAGTGAAAAAAGTCAGTCACAAAAGTGAGCTAGCATAGGAATAACAAAGGGGATATCATTTTAAAAACAGACTCCATTTTGTCTATGAGGTCAGGAAAGCAAAGGGGAAAAGCGAGATACTGATTGACTATCTGCTGCCCACATCCTAAATATATGTAACTAAAAAGGGAGAACACAATGCAATGACCAGACCTTGTAAAAATAACCAACGTGTCCCATTCTCATTAAGTTTATCATTTTTTGTAAGAAAAACCAGCAATTGTTTTTACAGAACCTGAAATCTTGTCATAAGACAAAATTGAGCAGACATCTGCTGACCCATGAGATGGAGACATTGTTTGCTGACCACAGACAGTAATGACAGTGGGACAGTCCACCAGCTTCCCCTCCCTAGCCCTCTCTCTCTCCCTGAACAGCCCACTAAAACCCTTCATACGGTCCCATCTGGGAACCAGCCAGCTCCTTCCTTCTTGCTGGTTCCCTGGTGTACTAGCTATCTCTCAATAAAGCTTTGCTTGCTGAACTTATCAGGTACGGTGCTCATTTTTATGACATTGGGACCCAAGAACCTGGCATCAGTTGGCTCTAGCAACAAAAGGACAAAGACTATATGATTCCATTTATATGAGGTATCTAGAAAAAGCAAATTCATAGAGACAGAAAATAGAATGGTGGTTGCCAAGGGTGGGGAGAGGGATGAATGGGGAGTTATTGTTTAATGGGCACAGTTACAGTTTGAGAAGATAAAAAAAGTCCTGGAGATGGATAGTGGTGATGGTTGCACAACATGTGGCTGTACTTAGTGCCACAGAACTGTACATTAACTTAATAATAATTAAAATGGTACATTTCATGTAAAGTATATGTTACCACAATTAAAAAAAAAAAAAAAACCCGAAGGGCAGAAAAACAAAACTTGATAGAAAAATAGGGGAAATATTTGAACAATTTACTAATAAAGACATACAACTGGCTCTCAAACATATGAAAATATGTTCAAACCCACTCATAATTAGAGAAATGAAAATTAAACAGCACTGAGACACCATTTCTCACATATCACTGGCAAAAATTAAAGCACAACAGCACACTCTGTTGGTGAGGTTGTGGGGAAACAGGCACTATTCTCATACACTGTTGGGGGGAATGCAACTTGGTCCAGCCCCTTCCGGAGGGGAATTTGACAATAGGTAAAATTACACATGCAGTTGCCTCTCATCCCAGCAGTTCCACTTCTAGGAATCTACCCTGAAGATTTACCTCCAACAATACCAAAATACATATGCACAGGGTATTCACTGCAGGGTTGTTTGTAACTGCAAGATATTGAAGGGAAGATAACCAGCCATAGATGGTAGAATGGATAAATAAACTATGGTACCTGGACACAATGAAGTAATATGCTACTGTAAAAATTAATGAGGGCATGCTCATGCAGCATTATTCACAAAAAGCATAAAGTGGAAACAAACCAAATGTCCGTTAACTGATAAATGGGTAAATAAAATGTGTATATCCATACAATGGAATATTATTCAAACATAAAAAAGTAATAAACAATGAAAAACATTACGCTAAGAAACCAGTCACGGACCACACATGATCCCATTTATATGAAATGTCAAGAATAGGCAAATCTATATAGACATTTATTATAAATATTTTTATATGTACAACAAAAGTTTGCCGACCTCAAACAAGATCACTGTAAGGATATCTTAGTTCTAATCAGTTATGAATCACACAGAAGGAACCTTAGCCGCACAGGATCCGACTCTCCTATAGTCACGTGCTATAGTAACTCAGGCCCCAAAGAATTAAGTGGCTCCCAAAGCCATTGTGCAGACACCAGCGAGTGTCAGTAAACTCTATCTAGGCCCATAAGCCTCCTCAGGGAAGCAGTGCTGTTAAGATTTTCAGTCTGGAGTCGGACTGACCCAGTGGTTAGCTTGGGGGTGGGGTGGGGTGGACAAGTCATTTCACTGTCTCTCGGCCTCAGTTTCCACCCCTGTAAATGGCGCTAATAACAGCACTCACCTCGCAGGGCTGCAGTAAAGGCGAAGTGAAAGGACGCGAGTCAAAGGTTAGCGCCGGGCTTTGCACTCGGCAGACGCTAAGTCAATGGTGGCTCCTGCTGTTGTCACTGTAAACCACTCCCGAGGCCGAAGCCCGTCCTGGGCACCCCAGAGCGGCGGCAAGAGCCGTGAAGAGGCCTAAGGAGCAGCCCGGAGGCTGGCCTCGTTGCTCCCGCTCTCCAGCCTCGGTTTCCCCGACGGTGGCACTGGGGCTGTCCAGGAGCCTCTTGCGTCTGCACGGGCCTCGGCCCCGCGCCCACCGCCCCTCAGGCCCGCGCCCCAGCTACGCCCCTGGCTCGGTATAGCCGCGCCCCCAGCCCGGGGGGCGTCCCCAAACCCGCTGCCCAGGAATTCACCAGGCGTCTCCACGGCAACGGCCTGTCCGCCCCGACCCCCGCGCGGCCCGGCTACGCGCCTAACAACAAGGCGCGCTCCCATTGGCTCCGGTGCCGGCTCCGCCAGCCAATAAGCGAGGGCGCAAGCGCCGCTCGCCCGCCAGCCGGCTACCTAGAACCTTGCTGGAGGTGTCCGACGCGGTTCGGAGCGGCCTGGCGCACGGTTGTGACAGTTCCTGAGCCCTGGCTTCCGTCCTCCAGCTGTTGTGGCTTGGAGCGCCAGCTTGCGGTCAGACTCCCGGCTCCACCACTTGTAATACTTGAGAAGCGCCGAGCTTGGTGCGTAGGCCCAAGTGGTCGCTAAATGACAGGCCGTATTATTGTTAAACCTGAGGCAGGTGCTCTGAAGGCAGCGGAAACCTGGGGAATACTTAACGAGGGAAACGGGCGGAACAGCATCCCCCTTCATATTACTCCTGCCTCACTTCTTTCTGAAAAGGATTTGAAGTTTAAAAAGCACAGCTATCTACAATCAGCTATTGAAACAAAAAGAGGTAAAGACACCAAGACCCAGTAAATGAACGGGCCAGGAGTGACAGAATCCCAGAGCCCAAAAGAGGGTCCAGCAGTGAAGGGTTTCTGACAAGGCCTCGGCTGAGAGAGGTTACTTTCTTGGGAGTTAAAGTTTTAGGGAAGGGCTTCACACTATGGTTAAAATGCATGGCTACGAGCCCAGCAAGAATAACTTAAAGAGTAATTAATGTTATGGCTTTATCTTTGACCTTAGAGACAGTAACATGGTGTAGCACTCATGTAGTCAGATCAGTACAATAAAGCTTTACTTATATGCCAGAAGTTACACCAACTTCAATTTTGAGAGTATAGCCTTGAAGGGAGGAGCAGTGAATAAAAGCATAAACAGATGGTTTCAAAGTTTCATAGATAACATGCAGGCTTGGATGCAGGTCCCGCCCCTAAATTGTACTCTGAAAAACGCTCTGGAAAGCTGGGAAGGGCTACCCAAGCAGCAGGGAGCTTTGTGGAAAGGATTCGGAGGTGAGAAATAGTGCAGGCTATGCAGGAGCCTCAGGCAGCACAGTATTACCACGGGGCAAAGCTCAGGGTCATAGTGGAGAGAGATAATGCTGGAGAGGGGTGAGGGGCCAGTCCTCACAGCAAGCAGATGACATCACTCTTACTAGAATGGTGTTAAGAGATTTAAGGTGGAGAGACCAGATGGGAAGCTGTTACCTTATGGTCCTGGCAAAGGTTAGGCCTGAATCCCTCCTTAGGCACTTTAGCCATTTATTCACATTCAACCCACATTCCCTGAGGCCCTCTGGGAAGCAGGACACCCATGCTGGTAGAAGGAATGAGTGCAGAAACAGTTGGGACCTGTTGCCAAGGGAAGGAACTTCAATCTCTAGCTTTTAATGAGAGTCCTCAGCAGCGGTCTGGTCCAAACACAGCAATTAGAGGCACATTCCATTGGAAACTAACTCAAGTGAAACTGAAAAAAATCTCAATTTGGTATTTCACTGGTGCACTAAGGACAAGGGTGACCAAACCTTTAACTGTCTTGAGAAACAGTGTCTACTCGATGTTTATCCTCTGATATGTAAAGCATGATTTGGTATTTAGAGGAGGGGTGGGGAATTCCATTCATTCAGTTTCTAGTGGCAGACACTGTATTTCCAGGTTTGCCATTCTACGACATGGATTTTACAAGGTGCACAGTGAGAGAATTCACAGCAAGACTTATGGGAGAAGATGAAGTTTGGGTCCCTAAAGCCCAGCCTGCCTGGCTCCCATGCCAGGCACAGCAGTTTGTGGGTAGGGAACTGCCCAGGCCAGCCCAGGCTCAGGACAGGAACATCAGGTCAGCAAAGTCTGAAGGAATGCTCAGGCAGTCAGCCCCTCCCCAGTAGCTTGCACATTGGCAAGGAGAGCAGGGTGTCCAGGATGAGCCCTCCCCACTCCAATTTGAGTAGCATAAATATAATACATGAAAACAGGAGCTCTGAAGATAGGAAACATCCCACCTCTCAGGTTCCCTAAGGTCTCCACCTCATAAATCAACCCTGCTGCCCGGAGTGGCCCAGAATGCCTTGGAGGAGTAAAGGGAGGTAAAGAAGTAATGTTTGAAAGACAAAGCTCTCTTCATTTATTTGGAATAAGGATGGAGATGAAGAGGACTGTGAGGTCACAGACATATCTGCATGTGGGGATGCCAGAAGCTGGGATCAACCAGGCCTTCACTATGCCAGGAGGCCTCTCTGGAAGAGGTGGCCAGCTCACAGATACCCCGGATGTCTTCCATGCCAATCATAAAAATGTCACGACTGTCCCATTCTTGCCAATCTGCCAGGGCTCCAGGGGGAAAAAGCGGATAATTATCCTTCAGGAGACAGAGAAAAAGATGTCATCAGCTCCTTGATTAATGCTTCCTATTCTAAGACCCCGTAGCTAGGCACTCCCACCATAGGCTCCCGGGTCAGCGTGCCTTAGCCCATTAGGAATTTTGCGAGCCTGCTGTACCCCATTAATGTTCTCTCCAGAACCCCCAACAGGGCAGCGGGCAAGTCAGGGAATGGATGGTGGCTGTACATCAGCGTGGCCTACTCAAGACAACACTCAACACCGTCAGGACTTCATTCAATTCTGCTAGCAATATGAATGTGAACCCACCATTAGGGGGTCCAAAGGGATCAAGGTACCTTCAGGGCACTAGACCTTTCTGGAGCAAGGTGAGGAATTTACTTTTTGCCCCAACCTTAGGAGGGGCCCTGTGACAGGATCACTACACCACGTCCGTGGCGCTACAGTCCGAGAGTGTCCTCTCTCTGCCCCTACGCACCGTTCCTGGCCTAGTCCCAGCTCCTTGGTGAGGAACTCAAAGAGGCGGGCGCTGTGGCCGCGGTTATCCTCGGCAGTGCCCACTACACCGATAGAGGAGACAAGTAGCTGAGCACAGGGTTCGGCCGAGCCGCTCACCGCCATAGCCAGGCCCGGACGCACCGTCACGTTCATGCGCTGCAAGGGACATGAAAGTTTCACCTGAAGCCGGTGCAGTCCAGGCTCGGAGAGCACCGGGCAGTGCGGGATCGGAGACGCGCGGACCCCGCGGGGTCAGGGATAGGGGTAAGGGCTGGGGTTCTTAGAGGTCCGTTGGAGTCATGGCTGGGGAAGGCTATACGGAGCAGACATGGGGGTGGGACCGCGAGGTCATGGAGAGCAGGAGGTCAGAGCTTAGCGGGTGATGGGCGGGGATCCTTGGGAGGAGGAGTCGAGGTCATGGTGGGGAAGTCCGGGCGTGGACAGAGTCTGACCCTTGGTCCACCAACCTCCCCCAGCCCCGTGCTCCCTGGGCCCCGCTCACGTCCTCGGGTTTGCCTAGGATGGCGGCGCTGGCTGCGCAAAGCCGCTTCTCCAGCCCCGCGGGCACGCGGTTGGCGGGCAAGTTCGTGTCCAGCTCAACGAACGGCATGTCGGTCGGGAAAGCTTTGCGAGCGGTGGCAGCGGAGAAAGAACCTGCGGCGTCCTGGTCTGTGTTCGCAAGACCTTTGATTAGGAAGCAGGGGTGCTCCGGCACAGATTTCCGGAAGTCCTATTGCCCAGTCCGCCCCGCATAACCCCACCCACAACGAGACATTGGCTGAGCCAGGGCCCCGCCCACTGCACTCCGGCCCAGCCCCTGCTCTAGCCGCACTGGCCGCGGTTTTCCGTCCCCTGCGGCGTTTCAGAGCTGCTGTCTTTTGCTGTCTGTCCCAAATTAAGATGGAGGTCTGAAAACACAAACACTCTGTCTCTCCCTCCCTCCCTCCCCTCCCTCCCTCTCTCTCTCATTCTTTTTCTCTCTCTCTCTCTAAGAGCCTTCACACAGACACACACAAACTTTTTAGGAGCCTTCCCCGGAATCTACCCTAATAACGTTACATTGTCTCAGAGAACTAAAAAAAAGTTAAAGGAGTTACCACCGCTTCAAAGTTAGTCAGCTTCACGTTCAATATAAGATCTGCACTTTTCTTGAAGAGGCGACCTGGTGACACGTATGCATGACTCATGGGGCTCAGCAGAGCTTCTCGGGTTCCCTGCATCCCTGCCTTCATGTCCTCGTGCCTGTAGCAACCTAGCAACCTTGCCTCAGAGTGAGGAACTGGAGGCGGGGGAGGAGGGGAGCAGGTCCTAGTCGAATTACCAGCAATATTTATGGCATCCTATATTTCCATAGGCAAAACAAAAGGTGTTAATTTAAAACGTGGAAATAGGTTGGTTTGGCTAACCATGGTACTCTCAGTGTTCTGAAGTTGTTTAAATTGTAAATGAAAATATAATTGAAGCTGCGTGGGTATATATGAACAATTTCGATTACACATCTAAAATTCTATATGTGTGCATATTAAAGGAGCCTCCATAGGAAGACTGGTGAGCTGAGAGGCTCTGTCTGTTCATGACCCTGTCCCACTAGCAGTTTATTGGATGACTCAGATATCAGGGAATCTGTGACACAAAACAGGTAGGTTGTGACGGTAATGAGGGGAAAGGGCAAAAACAGGTGGAAAGCCTGGATCCCAGAATGGGGCATGGAGAAGACATTGGTCGGGGTCACAATTAGGCCGGGGAGAGCAAGGCCTCTCAGCAGCACCTGGAGGGCCAGGAAAGAACCTGGAACTTCCCTCCCTGCAAGGAGGTTCATGTACCAGCATGCACCCCACTGTGGGAGAGAGCATCACTCCAGAGATCCAGGAGACAGGAGCCATTCCTGACTCAGACATCTCTTCACAGGGTCAACCTCCATCTGTGATACCTGCTCAGACAGGGGAGCATGGAACCAGCTTTTGGCCAGAACAGAGGGATGAGGAGCCCAGAGGGGTCACCTGATCCAACCTAGGGCTAGGGAGGTCAAGGAAGTATCTCTGAAAATGTGACATGGTGACAAGTGCCAAAAGACAGGGGAGTGGGTAATAGTACCAGGCAAAGGTGAAGAAGGACCCTGTAAGTAGAGGAGTCAGCATGAGTCAAGGCCAGGAGGCTGAGCTGGGAGCTGGAAGAATGCTGGAAAATGGCTGGTGAACCAGAAGGGGGCAGTCTGGTGGGGTAGTGGCAAAGCCTGGATACAAAGTTTGATAACCTGTACTGCAGCTTCAGGGCAATGAGGCATCGTGAAAAGTTTTAAACAGAGAAAGGACAGGGTCAAATATGCGTTTACTAAAGCTCTTTCCTGAGGTCACATGAAAGTTGAAGTGGAAGGGGCAGGAGTGGAGTGAGGAGACAGAAGGAATGCAGGCTTGATGCATGGAGGGACTGAGGACCAGAGATTGTACAAGGTGTCTTGCTCTTAAGTGGAAGGGGCAGGAGTGGAGTGAGGAGACAGACAGAAGGAATGCAGTCTTGATGCATGGAGGGACTGAGGACCAGAGATTGTGCAAGGTGTCTTGCTCATGGCCAAGGAGAGGGGCAGCTCTATCTCTTTATTCTGACAACAGAGTTTCCGTCATTAGTGGCTCTGCGGGCCCTACACCTAATCACTTCAATAAAAACTGCGCCAAGGGCTTCAGCCTCTCCTTTGTGGCAGTGTCCGCTGGAGGCATGTCCTTGGCCTTCATGACAGCAGCATGGGCCTCCTGGAAGAGGTCCTCTCCCACTGCGGCCTCCACACGCTTATGCCAGGCAGCCAGCTTGGGTCGGCTTTTGAAGACTTGGCAGCCAGCACTGACAGGCTGTGGGAAGAGGAAGCTAAGTGGAGGGGCTGGTCATGGTCAAGCACAAGGTAGCGTGACCTGGTTTAGGGACCCATCAAGTGGATTTTCCTTCCTCTGCCTGCATATGATAAGCTGGGGGGCCTCTCCCAGGAAACACTGAGATACTCCTCAATATCCCTTCAAGGTAGGGTTTTAAAGTCCCATTTTACAGATGAGGACACTAAGGCTCAGAGGGGAAGTGATCCATCCAGTATCCCACAGCCAGAAGCAGCAACGTGAGCTGGTACATTGGCTTCCTCCCAGGACACCCCACTCCCCAGTGGGCCACCCCACCCCACAGTACTCACATGCATCAGCTCTGTGATGGCTACCAAGTCAGCCACTGAGATATGAGGCCCAGCAAGGAAATCCTGGTCCTTCAGGAACTTGTCCTCAAGCAGCTGTAGGCACCTGTCCAGCTCAGCCAGAGTCGACGCTAACATTTCAGGGGGCACCTGTTCACCCAGGAACACAGGGAACAGCATCTGGTGGGAGGACAGGAAGGGAAAGGGCTGATGTTTGGCCCCAAGCCTAACCTGGTTCTGCTCTCAACTAATCTATCACCAGTCCTGTGGATTTATCCTCTCTGCTGCCCACCCCTTTCCACCCATAACCACCACCTGCTCCTACTCAAACAGGGACAGCCTCTACCTCTCCCTGGGTCCTCACACAGGGCAGTCAGGGACAGCCTTCTGCAATCTCAATCTACCCATATCCTCTCCCTGCATAAAGCCTTCCATGTCCCCCACTGCCCTCATCACAAAGGCTTCGCCACCAGGTCCTCACCAGTGCAACTGTCATTGTCTTCCCACTCCCCCCCAACACCCCCACCTCCTATCCCACCAAGACTTCTCAAATTGGGGGATGTGGTTCAAGTGCACATTCCTAATCAGTACACTTGAGTAGAGCCTGAGACTCTGTATTTCCAATGAGTTCCTAGCTGATGCTGACACTCCTGGTCCACAGGCCACACTTTGAGGAGCAAAGGTCTATACTTACTCCACTCAACTTCCTGTCATTCTGCCCTCAAATGCAACAGGCTCCCGTCCCCACCAACTTGAGAGGACTTCTCTCCAAGTCCCTAGAAGCTCAAGGAAGACACTTTTAAGACCATTGAAACCTACTTTTTGCCAAATGGCCACTCACAACAGTGGTACTCAACCTACAGGAGAGCGTGAGCCTGCCCATCTCACGTTCCCTCACACACAGGGCACCCACGGAGCGCCAGCACTCTCCAAATAATGTGTACTCTACACATTTCAAAAACACCTGCACATTTGATAAATAAAAATGGAGTGCACATTTATTTGAGTTTTACTGAGGTTAAATGTGTTTTCATCCATTTATTAATCATTTCTCTCTATTCTTCCATTAAATCCCTGCTGGTTTCCTTTGCTCCTTTTCCTCCTGTGTCTTTGATAGGTTTAAGAGCATCTTAAATATTAAGAATGTTACTTCTTTCTAACATATCTTTGCCAAGATCTTTCTCATTTTTTGCTTATGTTAAATTTAATCCTTTTTGTCCTTCCATAAAATTTCATTGTATGTGTAAAGTCATTTATGCTTTTCTTCTACTGCTGTTAGGCTTAGAAATCCTTGCATACCTAGAAACCAGATCAACATTTATTGAAATGTCTCCTCATTTTTTCTTTGTTTAACTTTCTTCACTAAACATCTCTCTATCTGGAAAGTATGTATGTAGCAAACTGAGGATTTGTTTTTTTTTTCTCCTCCCAAAGGCAATATTCCCAAGCAGCCTTGAGAATGCAAAGGGGCTCAGGAATCAAGGAACACTGAGTAGCCACTCCCTGGCTCTATCTTGGTTTTCCCTCTGAGAAACAAGTCGGTTGGAGTCTCTAGCATTCTAAAATTTGGTGTTCTAAGGTTTCGGGTCTGAACAAAATGTTTTAAACAGAAAGCACTGCCCCCTGAGCATCCCGGAAGGAGTCCCTGGCCCTGGGACTCACCTTCTGCCACATGGCTCGGGTGCAGCTACTCCGCAGGGCCGTGTGCTGCCACGCCAAGTACTCGTCCACACGGGCGCAGGCCTGCAGGTCCTGGGGGTACCAGTGGTCAGGGGCCTTGTACTTGCGGCTCAGATACAGCAAGATGGCCACACTGGGAGACACGGCAGAAGAGAAGGAGATGTCCAAGTCACTTTTCAGCTACTCCACAGGGGCCAGGCCCTGGGTGGGGCAGGCTCCTGCTCCTGGCATGTCTTTCCCCAACTCCTGTGGGTACAGCATTTCACTATCTCCATGACGCAGATTAGGAATGTGAGGCTCAGAGAGGTTAGGTGACTGCCCCGGGTCACACAGCTCTACATTGGGCCATCCTACCATCCAAACTAAGGACACCAAGTGAAAAACAAAATGTAATGGGACTTCAGAAGGTGGGGGGTGGTGTGCTCAGAGAAAGCTTCCACAAAATGGGGCACCCAGCACAGGTCCTGAAGGACGAGAGCAAGTCCAGTACCACTGCTCAACATATCCAAAGCTTGAACACACCAAGAGCAGGTGCTCTTCCCATCCCTGGGTACCTCTGCCCACTTCAAGCCACTCTCCACTCTGGGGCTGGCACAAGTGCTCAGGGCACACAAGCCACAATCCAAGCCATCAACAGTAAACACACAGATGGCTGACTGGCCCCACAAGGTCATGCAGGAGTCCAGGAACCCATTACCTCTCAGCCAAGGTAAAGTCCCCATCCTTCAAGGCTGGCACTTTCTTCAGGGGGTTCACCTGGGCAAAGGCATTGCTGTGCTGCTGGCCTGTGGGAGAGACCAGTGAAGCAGTGGGGAGAACCCTGAGCCCTCCAAGGTCTCTGCCCATCCCTACCCTATTCTTGTGGGGCATTAGGGAGGAGGAGGCCACTCCACTGGTCAGTGAATCACAGACCCTGACACCACCACCAAAAGACCACCATTCCTGTGTCCACCCCCTTGGAACCTGGGCCAGGAAGCATCTTGACTTGGGCCGAGGGAAGGAGGTGGTTCCATGGAGCTGTAATACACACACACACACACACACACACACACACAGACTCAGGCAATTCCATCATGTCAGACACTCCAGCCTCCATCCTGGGCTCTAAGCTTACCTCCTGCAATCCATCTTCCTATGCCATCTGAATGACCTGTCCACACCCAGCCACACCCAGCTCCAGCCACACCTGCTCCCAGCCCTCAGTCTATCCTTGCTCTCACCAGCCACCCAGCCTCCAACAGCTCAGCTCTTCTTTCTCTCCTGTGCCAAGCCCTCAAGTCTCCCTCTCTGATGTGGATTCCCAGGTCTGACTCACCTCTACATGCCTCCCCAGCCGATGCTGGAGGGTACATCAGTCAATGTGCATAAAGTCGGAGAGCCTCAGTGGAACCAGGTTCTAGCCTGGCCATAGGCTCCTTTTGTGGCCCCCTTTGCCCTTCTACTGAGTAGACAGAATCACCACTACCCAGTCTCCCTTCCGAAACTGCCTCTGTGCCCAGCCCCTGTCTCAAGGACAGCTGAAAAGGCAGAGCAAAGTGGCAATGTAGCAGTTGGTGGCCCAGGGTCGGGGATTCAAAGACAGACGGTGGGCAGGTACGGCCAAGCAGGGTCATCCCTCCTGGCCTACCCAAGAAGCTCTAAATCCGTAGCTTGCCCTACTGCTCAGTTACAGCCCTGTCCCCTTCATCGGATTCTGTAAATGCAGAGGAGACCTAAACAGGGGTAGGTAGGTTTAAAGAGACCAGATCCAGGTGGAACAACCTTCTCCCGCCAGCAGATGCCGAAATTCAGAGATGGGGACCACCCCTACTAGGAAATGAGGAGTTTTCTCTAAGCCACAGTGTGGCACACAGTCAGCACACAGTCGGCCCAGACCCCAGGCCTGCCTGCCGGGCTTCACCTTTGAGCAGATCCACGGTGCGGAGCTCGAAGGGGATGCCGTTTTTCTTGGCGAATATGTAGACGGCGCGGCAGGGCTGGGACAGGAGGTCCAGGTAGAGCTCCAGGCTCATGGCAGGGGAGGCAGGTAGACCCAGGGGGTAGACCTGAGGGACAAGCCCGGAAACAAAAACCGCGGGCAGGAACCGCCGGGCCACCGAGCCTACAGACGAGAGCAGTCGGGGCAGGACTCAGTCACGCCCTCCCCGCCCATTGGATGGCTCCGGAGAACTTTGGGCCAATCAGCAGCGCCCTCGCTCTCCCTTCTTCCCTCTCCAGGGTTCTGTGTTGTTAGGCCCTCTCTTGGTGGCTAGACACAGGAAGATCTGGTCTCTGAGCCAGGGTCTCGCGGTCAAGTCACACCCCTTCTCTGGCCCTCAGTGTCTACCTTTGTCAAATGTGGCAGGGGGAGTGGTAATAGAAAACGGGATGCCAAGGGCGCTCCAGCACAGACTCTCAGTGAATTTAGGATCAAGGGCTGGGCTGCCTGTAGTAGGCAGGCCACCTCTCCCACCCAGGGAGGAGGCTGAGAGAGGGGGGAAATCCGAGTCCCTGAGAACACAAAGGGAGAAGGAAGAAGGTGCAGCAGCCTCCCCTAAGCCTGGTGCCCAGTGGCCAGGGTGGAGGTTGGGAAGGGTGTCTAGACCTGCTCTCTGCAGAAGCTAACCCAAATCCCTCCCTAATCCCTGAGGTCATATACATTACACTCCAGCTAATTCCTCTCCCTGGAAGGAGAAGCCCTGTGAGGATCGTTTAGAGGTTTGCAAGGGGGATAGCACTTCCTCACTTCTTCAGCAGGGCCAGGTCCCTCCAACTGTGACTCTGGAGCTCCTCCAGTCAGTGATTATGATGCCCCATTTTCTAAGACAGCTTCCTGAGTTAAGAAGGCTCTTCTCCTGAACCCAAGAGTCAGAGAAAGCCACTTAGCAAGAGGATCAGTTACTGGAAAACTTGAGAAGAGATTGGCCTCCCTGGTCCCCCATGCTCCCCAGTTAGGGAAGACCTGTCCCTCCAGGAGAGTGCTTTCCTAGCCTTGTGCTGCAGCCCTCTCCATTCTGGCAGGGGCATGTCCTCCACCTCCTTCACTGGTCTGCCCTCTTCCACAAGCCACCTTTGGCTGAATTACTACAATATCCCAACTTCCTTCTTCCTCCCTGGCCACCTGCCAGTCCAACTCCTACCAGCAGCCAGAATATTATTCTAAAACACAGTCTGAGCACAGCATTCTCCTCCATGGTTTACAGATCCTGTGTGTGGCATTTTAAGCCCTGTATGACTGAGCCCTGAGTGGGAGAGCTGCTTTGTGGATTTTCTCCTCCCTACCAGTTCTACAGCCGAGTCTATTGTGACTTTAATTCCCCTAGTATTTCTGGCAGCTAGAATTAAGTACTTTAATTCTTAATGAGGAAGTAGGTATAGGTTTTAACTACATGTTTCAGGTGCTTTGGTTGTCATGTAACTTATAGTCAAAGATTAAGAAAATATGTTGGTCATGTTCTGAGGGACCACCTGTAAAGCAAGTTCTAGGAGAAATGTTTAAAAGTACACTTTGCTTGAAGTAATAGAAAAATATAGCTAGTTAAGCACAAAACAATGATAGTTTAAACAATGATGATAGTCACAAGATGTCTAGTTTCTGCTTTTTTGCTTTAAATTTAATATCACTGACACTTCTTCAGTGACACCATTGTGGGATATTTTGCAGAATCTTGGTTATTCAACCCAGCACTCATTGCTCTCACAATATAATTTCCTGTTCCTGATGTACTGTTTCTTTGTCAAGCAAGAGATAACTCCAGGGCCATAAGAAGAATGTTTGTTTTGCAGAAGGAAAGGTTGTACACAAGGTAGCTGCAACTGGGTGCTGGCACCTAGGAGTCTAATAAGAAAAAGCATCATCTATGACTAAGAAGACACAGACTTCTCTCTCAGTTCCCTGGAACTCCTCCTCCCTTACTCCTTAGCTACATAAAAACTCCTTACCTTTGCTCTTTGAGAGAGATGGATTTGAGATATCTTGCTCTCCTGTCCTCTTACTTTGGCCAAATCAAATAAACCTTTATACCTAAGCACTAGTGTCTCAATGTTTGGCTTACTAGCACATTGGGCACACAAACCTGAATTTTTGGAGGTGATTACATAACAATTCCTACAGGCAGATTCAGAACTCATGACTTGGAGCCAAATGGCAATGTCCTGGGAGGCTGGCCCAGCCAACTGATCTACCACCATGCCTACAAAGAACACATGTGGCATGCCTGCTGATCTTTACGCTGTCTGAGAAATCACTTTCTCCAAGAATTAGAAGGCTAGGGGGCAGTTATTATTCATTTCATTCTTGGCAACCATCTCCTCAGGGCCTAGGAAAGGAAGGTTGCCTTTTGGATAGACAGGGCCAGGGCAAGAATGTCAAATAAATCACACAGCAGAGTTAGAAGCAGAGGGTCAGGCTAAGCCCAGACTTATTTACCAAACTGAAAATGAAATGTAGTGATTAAAGGAGACAGGTCTGGGTGTGCCATTCTCATCGTGGTTTTCAGGCAGCTGTGGAAGACAGGGTAAGGGTAGGGACCTGGGGCTGGAGAGCCACAGTACAGTGGGACATGGGCAAGTTACTCTTGATCTCTGAGCCTGCCTCCCATGCCTTCATGGAACGAAGGTGCTTCATGAACTGCCAGGGGCAGAGCAGAGTCAAGGCTTCCCAGCTCATTGGATCATGGCCAGTATCCCAGGCATCAGCTTCTGCTTTATGACGGGGTCTGCAGGTGGAAAGTTCTTGACATTCAGGATGGTCTCATGGGCCTCTTGGAAGAGGATCTTTCCCACTGCTGCTTCCACGCGCTGGCGCCAAGCAGCCAGCTTGGGTC